TTGATTCAAACATACGTATAATGGGATATTTCCTGGTGGATGTACTCATTACGATACTCCATTGTTACAATATTGAAAAGGTAGTAGTTTTGGTTTTTTTTTTTTCTCTCACTCTCCATCTCTAGATTTCTTGATACTCTTTTTTGTAGGGGAAGAATTTACAATTGAAGAGTGTACTCAAAACCAATGGACAAATCGTTTCAATTTACAATTCCTATTCGACATAGGAGGTGATTGATCCGGTCGACAACTCGCTTCACATTTTCCAAACCCATGTCAATGATCCAGGGAAGGAGAACAATGCGTGTTTGGTTATAAGGACAAAAATATGCAGAATCAAGCCTCAAGTACCAGGTTTTTCATGATTTACGCGTTTTGCTTCGTATGATTGATATCATCTTAAGATTGAGTTGTGGCTAAACGTTTAGAAATGTTATAGGCCCTGGGGATGCAACTACCGTTTGGGACTTTGATGCTATAGATGAGTTCTATAAAGGTAACTTGCCGGATTGGGCGTTAGTATGATAAGCTACACTTGAATGATAAGCTACACTTGTATGAGGTGAGGTGTTAGTTTTTCAGACTCATCTTCTTCTTGGTGTACATGATTATGTTTCTTTCTTTCTTCGACTTAACTTTAGATGTTGAAAAGTGCAGGTGAAGGAATCAGAGTTGCGAGACAACGACTGGCTTTATCTATATGCAGAAGTTGCATTATTTTCCGAGTGGCGCCCTCAGGAGATGGTGAGTGAGGATAAAAAGCATGTAGATATGTTTGTGAGCATAATAATACACACTCTTTTCTCAACAAAGCTTACATTAATTGATGGTGTCTTCTTGCAGAGTGATCATACGCCATTTGAGATGAAGAAAGTAGTGGTACAAACAAAAGAAGATGTAGAGTCGGGTATCAAGCTCAAGTCGAGCAATGCAATCTTCTACATGAGTTTCAAGACTTGTGGAGGCACCGAGTGCAGAGGCATTGTAAGGAAAACAAGTGATGGAATAACAGGACACATGGGTCTTGAAGCTAGATGTTGGATTGACAAGTGAAGCCGATGGTGGCCAGTAATCTCATATTGTCTCTTCTTTTGTCTTGCCATGTCTGAAGTAGCAAAGTTGGCATTACTTGTTTCCCTCGGGATGTCTTTTGTTTAAAATGCTCTATTTATGATTGTGCTTTTTCCACTTTCATCTATAAGCTTGTATGTAATAAACCTTGTTTTAATACGATGAGATAATATGCAAGTGTTTGCATAAACTCTATCTAAAGTGGAAATGTTTTGCAAATAATGCCGACAGTTTGGTGCAAAAGATAAAATCATAAACTCTTCGGTTCATTTAGCTAGATTCATGATGGCTGCCCAGTGCACACCTTCTAAGCATTTGGGTATGAGCTATACTTCAAAAACAAGTGACAATTACAAACTTAAATTCATGTAAAATGTGTGTCAATGTTAGCAAAGCTAAGATAAATATACCCCTCGTTTCATCCATGATGCATATCTCACATGCTTGATATTTCAATCTTCATTCTCAATATACTCAATGATTCTAACTTTGGAATCAGGTTTTGATCTAATTATGCCTAACAAGATATCATGAGGCACAATAGAAAGAACATCAGCAACTAATGACAGAAATTGTGGGTCAATTAGTGTGATGATCTTTTCAAGTGCAGGTAGAATCTCTCTAGGTACATTAGCAAGTACCTAAGGAAAAAAAAATCAGTTATGATTTCTGAGAGACTCAACACCAAAATCATAATCAACTATTATCTCTTGCATTACCAAGTATTAAACTTAAGTTACAAAAATTAAAAGGCACAACAACTCATTTTTATATACCACTTACTTCACCAAGTGTTTCTGCCATAGTTTTACTGCGCATAAAAAATTATACAAGAAATTATCAAACAAGATTTCAAGTTACAAAAACTCCATACAACAGATTACTCAAGAAACTACCAAAATATGTGTGACTTAATTTTTCACCTCTTGACAAATCTTCTACACTTGAATTATCTTTCCTTGAAGTGTGTATTATTTCAGTCTTCTAACTCTACCGTAACTAGAGACTGGAAAGATATAGCATAGTTCATTTGAAAACTTTAAGGCCATTTCACCTTCTAAACATTAAGTGATTTGTCTTCTTTTTCTAAAACAATTACTGACTGTTAACACAAATATGAATAGAAACATGCAATGTCTACTGATATTACTTCTCGCTCACTTGTTTTCTAAATATAGAAACTCTGCAAAAAGAACTTTCAGCTTTTTGACCAATGACAATTAATAGCTATATTTCTATGCATCATTACAAATTTAAATACAAAGTTGAACAGATCTATTTAATTATTTGTTTGTTGGTTCAAGTTATTT